GCACAGGAACGTGCTGCGAATGCCTTCCCGTCTGCAGGAGAATCAAGCTTTGTCATGACTCATGCGGGTGGCAGGGCGACGTCACGAGCATCCATCCGTTCGAAGGCGTCGGTTCCTCGCCGAGGAATCCTCGGGTGTGTCAGTCGGTTGGCTGCCGAGACTCGCCGGCCAAGACGCAACCTAGCCTTCGTTGACAAGCGTATCTTTCGGATCGCTTGAAGTTGCTCGTGTCCCCCCAACCGGCGCCGATGGATGGCGCGCAGCGCTCACGTCAATATCACTTCGAGATCTTTAACTCATGCTACATGTAGCTGTTCGTTCAAAAGGATGGTTCTTTACCATAATATATTACTGGGTTTAAACAATTCTTCTCGCTCGCGAGGCACACCAACACTAATAGCCTCGCCCGCGCTCCTCCTCTCTAGTCCACAGCCACCGCCCACCCGCCGGGTCTCATCAAATAAATACACTTCGATCCCGGAGAGCAGCAGCGACTTGGTCCACCGCATCTGCAGCCCGCTCAGGTCTCGCGGTGGAAGGTTTCGATCAAGAAGTCCATGCACTTGTCGAATTCGATATCGCTGGGCTCGAAGGACGGGCCGTCCAAATAGTACGGGTTGCCTTCCGTGGAGGAGAAGTCTATTGCCAGCGGCAACTGCTTCTGGTACGTGTTGCTGGGGGCCATGGGCTCCATCATGACGTTGGCCTGGGCGGCGCTGGGGCTCATGCCCATTTGCATCTGCATTTGCATCTGCATTGAGGGGGACGCGTTGCCTTCGCCCGTCTCGCCTAGCATGTCGAGCTCCTGTTCGGCTGCGATGGCCAGCGACGTGGCCAGGATCGAATCGTTGAACTGTTCGTCGCTACTGAGAAGAGCGTTGAAGCGCGAGGCCTGGTCCATGAGGAAGGGCAAGTTGTGCTTACCGCTCATGCGCACATTGCGCAGTCTCCGCGCGATCTTCTGACGGTACTTCTGCGCGTGGGTCATGGTCTGGCGCGCTGTACGCGTACCCACGTGGCTAGCGATGTCCTTCCAAGGCCCCGACGGGAACATCTTGATGCCGTCTACGAAGAGACGATGTTCCTCGGGCGACCAGATCCCGCGGCCTTCGGGCGCAGGCTTGACTTCCTCCATCTGCGGCTGCGTCCACTCGCTCGCGGCACTCTCAACCATGTTGGTGAAGGACATGCTGCGATCTGTTTGCCTGTCTTCGGTAGTGCCCGTTCCAGCACTTTGCACGCGCGAGGAAGATCTTCAACTGACACAAAACTCGAGCCGAGCGCGTCTGGCTGCGCAGGCGGCTCCCTCCGGATTGGCCGCGTTCCCTGTCGCTGCGCAAAGCGCCTCTCCCTCTTCCGAGAGCTTATCAGCGCGGTGTTGCCTCGCGGAGATGACGCTCTCGAGCAGAGGCTAAACAGATCGGCCGAGTTGCAATCGTAAACCCCCGCGATAGGGGCAGATAAAGCCCGAGTTAACCCCGCTACAAAGCAAGATAGCAGGCCGATCTTGACATTCCAGACTGTAGACCAGGTCCGAGATATCACCCGCTCTGCGGCAGATTGACCGGTACGAGACGACAAATTACTTGCCGTCCAGCCCTGCTTTGCGCCGCGAGCCTCCCGTCCACGTTCGATATTCCCGGCCTGGGACACTTGAATCGTTTCAGTGTGAGGCTCACTCTCTGTGCTCACACGCAAAGCACGTACCGTAGACCCTCTCTTCAGGAGACTTCGAGAGCGGATCCCGTCGCAATGGCTGCGAGTAATTTGGATCGCAGCGCAGGGCTGTAACAGCACCAGCCTAGTGTAGCTAACAGTTGTCGAGCTATGGGTGTCTGTCACCACTGCCGGGGACATTCAAATGCAGCATTTGGTGCCGCAGACACGGCCACTACGCCTGAGCGGCACGCGTCCCACCATAAACAATATCGAACGGGAATCGACCTATCGACTGCACCTCGGACAGCGCGTGTGAGCCAGCAATCGTGTCCACCATACCAGACAGCGCGTTCGTATCACTCGGTGCGTTGGTGCGTTAGGTGGAAGCTGGGATGGCTTAATTGCCCCAGGCAATGGCAACGTTGCCGCCACAGCAATACCTTCATGCTACACCGCTCGTACTTGTACAGGCACACAGCTCAATGCATCGCTCATGTCGCTAATGCCGCTGAACGCACGAGGTCCGCACTGGAACGCGGCGCGCAGAGGCTTGCCAAGCACAATGGCAAGCACTGCTTGCATTTGAAAACACGCCCGGTCTCTAAACGCTACGCTCCAGATGGGTCCAGTATCATTTCAGCGCGTCACCGGACACCTCATGGCCAGCAACGGGGCACCGATCTACGGCATTGAAGTTGATGCTCATGGCTCGAAAGTGGCGATGGCAATGCTTGATTCCCCGGACTACCAAAGTAAGCATCCGCGCCAGCATACATGCGCCACATTGCGCTGTATGCACACGAGACAGAAATTCCAAGAGCAATCGTGTTGGTTGACAGATTTTAACGCAGCGTCTCTCAATTTGCAACGAGGACGCTATTGCCGGCGAATGATATCCCAAGTCGACTGGGCGAAAATTGCTCGTTTCAGTGGTCGGCTCGTCCACATGCGTTCGGCCGAGTTGAAGCAGTTGGCAATTGGAGCCGTATCACTACTGTCGCGGTGGCTAGGATAATGTTGCCGCCGCGCTGCCATTTGCAGGACGCTAGTTCTCAGCCGCCGACTCAGCGCAATTTCTCATCGGCCAGCTCAGGATACAAAAATCCTGTCAGGATACTTCCACGTACAAGCTGGTAACAATACGCGCGCGGCTCCAACGCTGATGTGGCCTTCGTCCGCGCGTCCTTGCTCGCTCTATCCTGACTTCTTCGCCATCGAGCATCTTGCTGGAACACGTCGCAGACAATGTATCCGCGGAGTAACCTGCCGGCGATCGCTCGATCGCGCTGCTCCAGATCAAAATCCGTTCGCTACGCTGGCGTCCTGTGGGTTATCCACACACGCGGCAGGCAGGAGGCTGGGTGGGGAGATGACTGAGCACTTCGCGCGTCAGCAGATCCTCCTGTCACTGATAGGCTGTCAGGTCGGCAAGGCAAGCACATCATGCAAGACGAAAACGCGGCGGTGTTCGCGCAGCACCAGGTCCACGCCACGTATGCCATTGTCAACTTGGGCGAATCCTGCGTATCCATGGTCAAAATCGTCCTGTTGCGAGATGAAGGCATCTTTGCTGAACTTCACGGTGTACGCGTGTGTACCAGGGGAATGGCGGACGGATGGCGGACGGCACCTATAAATGGGATAAATCGAGGAGAAGAGAGAACGCCTCGGCGTGTCTCGCAGCGAAGAGTACGGGCGTCTTCATGCATGACAAGCTTGAAGCGTGACTATCCTGGTATCGCCAGGACGACGCCTCAGGACTCGAAAATGGTCGATGCGACGGCAAGGCTGCTTCGTCCTCTCTACTGTACAGGATTGCCCTTAATCCATCGGACTGCTGGAGATTCGTCGATAGACTGCAGCACGACACAATACTTATCTCTCCGTCCGACACATTCGTTCTGCAGGATACACAACCGCTTCAATGTATCCATTGTCTGCGACTGTTGTAAGTAAACTCCCCGTGTATCTTGGCCAAATTGCGTGTTCTGACGAACGCGGCAGGGTACACTAATCAAGTCATTAGTTTGCTTGACTGGGTCTCCACCTAACATCCCTTTGTTACAATATGTCTCCATTCATCGAGCCCCTTTCAGTCTCTCCAGTCACCACAAGGCGGCTGATTCCAAGCTGTCGCAGCTGGAGATAGCCCAAAATCGCTTCCCAAACAGCGCTCCCCCATGGCACCGTCGCCAGGACTTCCTAGAGAGCCTTGTGCCCAGCACAGCTTGCACGTCCGCATACATGTAGCAACGTGGCTTGCACCTCTTCAGTCTGAGCTTGCTTTCTTGGATCCTCTTTTTCTCTGTGCGAACCGTAACCACGTGGATTGAGCCTACAAAGTGATCCTGTGTATCTGCATATAGCGATATCAAAAGAAAGCTTCAAATTAAGTAACGGCTGTATAGAAGGCATAAATTAAAGATGATACATGGTAAAACTGTGATATCTGATAAAGAACACTGTGTTAGACAGTTTTGTGCGTTGTGGTCGCTGATTGGCCGAACGTGGTATTCACTTCAACGAGCTGCACTCACGGACTGGAAGGGCAAAAAAGCACCTGGAATGCATGCAACGCGTAAGCGCAACGCCAGCGGCACCACTTTTCATTTTGCGTGCTTCTGCACATACTGACACAGCTAAAGACAGCAGCATGACGATCACCAAGCGCGTCCAGAAGGAGCTAGTGCAGGCGGTGCCGCCCGCGGACAACCAGCTGCTCAAGTCGCTGCGCAAGCACTCCCGCGCGCAGCGGACGGCACCCAAGGCGCGCTCCAACACCGAGAAGAACAAGGGCAAGGCTTGGACGCCCGAGGAGCACGCGCGCTTTCTCGTGGCGCTGGACAAGTTCCCGTCTGGCCCCTGGAAGGCCATTGCCAACTACGTGGGCACGAAGGACTCGCGTCAGACCATGACACATGCGCAGAAGTACAGACAGAAGCACGAGCGCCAGCAGCGCGGGCTGCGCAACAGGAACAAGACGGAGAAGAGCAGGAAACAGGTTGTAAAGAAGGCTACAGCTGGGACACAAGCTACGGCTGAACAGCCGATGGCCGATGATATCGCACAGGACGACTCAGTGCCAGAACGTGATGCTGCACTGGTCGAAATGAGCGAGGCTTTAGAGTTCGATTGGCTGCCGATAATGCCTTCCATGACGAAGCAGTTGTCGGACTCACCTCGCTCGGCTGACGAAGGCGCCTGTGCAGTTAACAGCGACCCATTCGCACCGGTAGTAGCAGACGACTCACTATTGACAATGGCACTGGATGCTGGCGCTGCTTGGCTCAGCGTTAAGGGCGACAATAACCTTACGAAGATCTTCTTAGAGATCGATGAGCCCGTGGCTGAAGCCGAGTGGCCACAAATGTGGAGTACAAACTCGCTGGAAGAGATCGTCACGTCTTGCTCGCAGTTCGACTTCATTGGCGAGGGTGCGCACTGACAAAGACTCTGGTCGAGATGGCCAGAACGTGACGGAATCTATGTGTTTTGCGCGAAATGCACATATGACCATTAACTTAAGTCCATAAACAAGTAGGTAAATGCAAGTATACAGGTACATTTGCACGGCAGTAAGTTAGTCTCGGAATCAGCAGAACAGGAGTTGTAATTTGCTGCTCGACGCAACAAAAGGTTAATTAAGGTTACATTGTGTAACCTTGAGGTAACCGGTTACGTTTCTACGATACGGTGCCTTTATCGCCAGTCAAAAACTGAGAACAACCATGGTTTCTGAAGTTGATGCCGCCAAGCCCAATGCCTCTACGGCCAACGCCCTTGTCGGCCTGTCTCGCGAGAAGATGGAGCAGTTCAAGGAGAAGGCGGAGCGCCGAGGCGTGGTGTACATTGCACGCGTTCCGCCCTTCATGAAGCCAGAGAAGCTGCGCTACCTGATAGGCAAATACGGCGAGCTGAATCGCATCTACCTGGTGCCAGAAGACAAAGCGCTGCACAAGAAACGCGTAAGTAGCGGCGGTAACCGTCGGCAGAAGTACACTGAGGGATGGATCGAGTTCGAGGACAAGAAGGTGGCGAAGCGCGTGGCCAAAATGCTCAATACGACGCTGATCGGCGGACGCAAGCGCGACTACTACCATGATGATATGTGGAATCTCAAGTATCTCAAGGGTTTTAAATGGGATCACTTGACTGAGAAGATCGCGTACGAGAACCGTATCCGAGACCAGAAGTTGCGCATGGAGATCGCGCAGGCGAAGAAGGAGAACGAGGCGTACTTGGAGCGCGTGGAGCAGTCTAAGCAGTTCGAGAAGATGGAGGCACGGAAGGCCGACAAGAAGCAAGGTGGAGACGCAGCACAAGACGCCATGCAAAACGTACGTCGCACTTTCCACCAGAAGGCTCCCACAAGCAGCAAACAGAATCAGTCGCTCGGAGATGGAGAGCTCGAGAAGGTCTTTGTCGCCAGCAGCAAGAACAAGAAACGCCGGGTGGCGTAGAATTACTCATACCGGTACTGATAAATGCACGATTTTTGACGAAGATGACATGAAGTTCGAACCGTGTTGTTCCGTTGGTATTACAGCTCGTCCCTAGTCTCCACTTTATCGCTGGTATCCACCTTCACCTTCGCCTTGACGTCGGTGCTAGCCTTCGACGGTGCAGCAGCGTGCTCTTTAGCCATCGGAACAGTAACAGACTGCTTTTTGCCGTCCTCCGCATCGACCAGGTACTCCAGCAGGATGTCTTCACCGTCCTTAATTACCCACTGATGGCCCGTGAACGAGTTGTACTCAATGCTGCCGCCGTTGGCTTTAAGCGTAGTCATGAGCGTGCCAGACCAATACAGACCCACCTCGCGCGACGTCGGATTCGAGAAGGTCACAGTGCATGAAGTGTCAACGGAATCCAGGCCGTGTCGACGTCGGTTCCAGACCCAGAGGTTTGCACCCCACTTCGTGCCCTCGAGCACAGGGCATCCTCCATGCAGTGACATGGGGTCGAGCTCGCCATTCGGTTTCTGGCTGTAGAACAGCACGGCACCGCCTTTTGACGGGTACGAAGCCAGCTTCGTCGAGCACTTCCGCACCATATCCATTTCCCAGCTGCCCGGCTCAAACAGCTCCGCTCCAGCGGCCTCGTAGTCTTGAGCCGAGTTCGGTGGGTGCTGATATTCGGCAGGTAGACCTTCAGGCATCTCCGCCAGCGGAAAAACAGTCTGGCCACCATGCGGGACATCAGATAGATACAGGAAGACAGTAGCAAAACGGTTGGAGCCTCCCTTGTGCGGGTCAAAGTTGAAGTCTTTGGCCGCGCCAGCCGGGAAATAGTCCTCATGGGCAATGTACGCCTGCTTCTGTTGGTATCGCAGGAGCTGGAGCCCATCCGCCATCTCCTCCTTGAACTCTCCAAGTGCAAGCACGTCGAACACACGCTTACGAATGGCAATCGCAGTCTCTGAGACCGTGTCGAAAGCGTTCTCGCTTGTGCGGTGTTTGGACTTCTTTTTCTTGTTCTTGCTGTCATTTGCGCCCACGGTCGACTGCTGGAGCTTGTTGCTCGGATCGTCAATTTCCAGTGTGCGCTTTATCAGCTTGTCAGCTTCCTCTCCACTGAAAAAATTGTGCAGACGGAATGTTCGTGGAGACTCTGAAATGGACTCGATGATTACGGGCTCCTTGGTCGGGCTGGCCTTGGACGTCACCGTCACACGGTGGCCAAGTTCCACAAAAGGCCACACGAAATGCAGCCCTGGAGCAACGAGATACAGTCGGTCGCCCGAAAGAATGTCCGCGTAGCTCTGCAGCAGCTCCCCTCGGCCATTGAACACGCGGTCGGCCATGACGCCAGGAACGTCGTATTCCTTTTCCTTGCTCTCGTCTGCATCCTCAAATTCTTCTGCGACGGACTCGTGAAGCCCTTCCACTGTTACAAACTGCGATAAATACGCCGCTAGCTCTCCTTCACCAGTGCGAGAAGCTAGTACATCTGCACTCAGCTGCATCTGTACGCCGCCGGTCGAGTATCCATTGCGGTACACCGTCACGCTTTTAAGTAGCGCATCGCGCTCCGCGCTCAGCGACCGGTGCTCGTATGTGAGCTGCAGCATCTCACGCGCGCTCTGCAGCTCTTCCCAGAACGTATAACCAAGCGCCAGTGCCGACACCAGCAGTAGGAAGCCGCCAAGACGCGCGCTCTTCCCCATTGTCGATGGTCCTGGAAAATTATGAACTGTGCTGCCAATTGAAGGTGACTATTTTTAATTTACAATCGCACGATAACAAACTGAAGACACCAACAAAAAGTTTCTCACACGTCACAGATTTTGATCAGCATGAACATGCACTTCATGCTGCCCTGTATCTATTTGCTGCCAAACTCGGAGTTATTGAACGTAGTCTTTGGTTACCCTCTACACTTGGAGGCACCAATTCTGAATCTGCAATTGCTTTGTCTGGCGAACACTACGATTGACCCACATTCAATAGCTAAATGGCTTAGTACAGGTGGCTCTTGACTAGCTTGCGGTACTTCTGGTAGGCCACGCCCACACCGCCAGCGATTAGCACAAGCATAATGAAGAACGGCAGACGCCAGCTGGAGCTTGCCACCGTGAGCTCGCCCTCGACCTCCGTGGCGATCTTCTCGTTTACCTTAGAGCGCACATCCGCCATCTTCTGCCCAATCTTCTGCTCCATCATGGTCGTCATGCGGTCTGTCAGCGCCTGGATCTTGCGTTGATTCTGGCGTTCCTTCTCCTTTAGCTTGTTGATAGTGTTCTCTGTCTGCTCGCGGAGCATCTCGAACCAATGCTCCGTCTCGACCTGGAAGTTGGTCACGTACTTCTCCAGGATCGTCACCTTGCACGACTGGTCGCACACATCGCTCTCCATGAGAGACACGAAGTCCTTCGAGTAATTGTGCGACCACGTCTCGGCATCTACCGTGCCTAGACCGGCGTCGTTAGTCTGGTCGAACGACTGCACGCGCAGAATATCGTGGTTGTCAGCCAGAGCGCCAGTCGACGCCGAGATACCGAAGGTAGCGCGACGAAGCCAGTCATTTTGGAACGGGAGGTTACCCTTGTAACACTCAGTCCAGGTACCTGTGTTGTTCGGGTCGACATCTACTTCAAGAGCGATGCCCTTGATCTTGACGCGGATGCGTGACGAGCTGTAGACAGGGTCAAAGTTGGCACTGTTCGAGTGGTAGCGGAAGGCGGCGTCGCATCCGATTTTGTTTTCGTCGTTGAGGTCGTCCAGACGCTTAGTGCCGTCATTGACCTGGATTGTCACATCCTTGTGGCCGCCACGGTGCTCCACGTTGTGGAACGTGTCTAGCACGATACCGAAGCCCGTATACTTGTCCGTGAAGCCGTGGTTGTCGCCATTCTTCCACTGTGGCTCATGCGTGAACCAAAGGCCAATACCGTCGCCGAACCATTTCTTGCCCTGGCCGTGGATACGGTAGGTGATGACCGTGGCGAGTTCATCCCGATTGATGGAGCTCTTGCTCCAGATGTGACCGCGCTTGCTCTGGCGGTCGGGTGTGAGGCGGATGAAGTTTTTCTTGACCTCCGTGGTGCCGCCGTAGATGATGTCGTCCGAGATCTGACGTCGACCGTCAGAGTTCACCACCTCATACGGCTGCTTGAAGGTCAGTGCCTGCAGCGGGGCGGCCGACACGGTGGCTAAGGAGCTCAGCGCCGCAGCAGACAGCAGCGTCACGACTCGGCGAAACATTGCGAAGGATGAAGCGATGGGATCAAAGGTTGGAGCGCGGAGATAGCTGGCTGTGCGCTAGCTAAAGAGGTGGTTCGGGTAAGAAGCAACTCGATCCACCGCGGACACAAACAGCGACGCAAAAATCGGCGTACAGCGCGAGGAGCCAGAAATGCTGGAGTGATAGACTGCGTAGATGTCGGACACGTGGGTCTATAGAAACCTTTCCAACTTGGTACCAATTGCTGGAGGTGATCAGACTGAAATAAGGTGGACCACACAGTGATCTTTTTTTGCATTACATCGATGATCACAGTGAGATGACAGTTTGATTGACACGATGGGAACGACGACAAAGGAATGTGCAGTTTACTTTGGTTAGGACACTATTGACGTTAGCTGCCAGGTAAATGCAGTGAGCATCTCCAGACATAACGTGACCCCTGCGACCGACGGATCTACAGCAAGTGCGACTTCATGAGCGACTGGTACTTGCGGTACACGTAAGCAGCACCAGCAGCCAGGCCGATGAACAGCAGCGCGAAGGGTGTCTTCCAGCCGCCACTGGCGATGTCCGGATTCTCCTCGAGCTGCTTCGTAATCTTCTCATTCACCTCGTCGCCCAACACCTTCTTGGTATTTTCGAGCGATGAGTCAATGCCCTTCCGGACCTTGGCCTCAATCTCACGCACACGGCGTTCGTTCTCACCCTCCTGCTTCTTGAGCTTCGCAACGTTATTCTCAGTCTTCTCCTTAAGATCGGAGAAGCGGTGTTCGGCATCGATACGGAAGTTCGACAGCTCCTTCTGCAGCACAGCGATCAGGCAGTCTGTGCCGCAGTTGGGCGAGTCCATCCATTTCTTGTAGTCCTTCGACACCGAGTTCATTACCATCTCCGAGTCCACAGCACCAATCGTCGCGTCCATGAACTCCGAATACGTGTCGAACCGGATGATATCGTGGTTATCGGCCAGAGCGCCCGTAGACGCCGTAATGCCGATTGTAGCCGTGCGCAACCAATCCTCGCTAAAGGGCAGAGTCATTTCATGACAGGCCACCCACAGACCGGAGGCGTGCTCGTCCACCTCCACCATCAGTCGGGTCTTGTCGATCTTCACCTTGACGCGCGAGAGGCTGTGTACCGGGTCGAAGTTGGCGCTTTGCTCGTGGTAACGCACGGCGGCATTGCATCCAGCGCGCTTCTCTTCGTACATCTGGTCATAATTCTTGGTGCCATCGTTCACAAAAACGCTAATGTCCTTGTGGCCACCCTTGTGCTCCGGGTTGTTGAACGTGTCGATGACCACGCCTAAGCCCTTGTATTTGTCGGTGAAGCCGTGGTTTACGCCGGGCGTGAAAACCTTCTGGCCTGTGAACCACAGACCGATGCCGTCGCCGAACCAGCGCTTGCCCTGGCCTGAGACGCGGAAGGTCAGGATGGCCGACAACTCATCGCGGCCGACAGGGTTCTTCTGCCACAGGTGACCGCGCTTACTCTGGCGGTCAGTAGTCAGGCGGATGAAGTGCTTCTTGACGTCCGCGTTGCCGCCGTGCGACCATGTGGTGTTAACAATGCGGCGGCCTTCCGAGTCTACGAGCTCGAACGGCGGCTTGAACGACATATCCTCCATCTTTAGGGCAGCAGCGTAGCGATCCAACAGGGTCACACACGCGCACAGCAGCAGCAGCAGCGTCAGGCCGCAGACCTTCATGGCGTCGGGTCAGCGTCAAGAGATCACGCGGGAGTCTGCAGTCTTTTGCGATTGACGCCACGTAGCGATTTTCAGGGCATTTCAGGTGGTCACCTGCTAGAATGAATGCATCGATTTTTAGCGACTTTTGTGGTCCACAAAATATTTTGTCGACGACATATATAACCGACTCAGTGCATGAATATGCACTTTAGGAGTTGTTGGAGTTAAGGCATGTTTACAGAGCAATGCTGGACGTGCATGCCATCACCACACTCAGATGGCTACCGCGCAGCGGCTTATCGCTGGTGTCGGTGCCGCCGCCGATGATGACTTGCCGTTGCGGCCTCACGGTAGCTTTTGCGCGGCGTGCCCTGGACGTGTGCTGTAGAAGACAATATCTTGGGATTGTGAGCCCTAGAGTTCCTGAGCGTCCTGTCAACACGCCGATCCTCGCCACCGAGAAGCTCTCGACGAGGACGCTCGCTCCTATTAATATGGTAGCCACCATGGATAGCCTGGTGGTTCGCGCCAAACCAGAGAAATGTAGGATCTACGTAGACCAACCATCACCGAGCTGATCCGATCGAGTTGCATGGGTCACGCGAAGACGAAGACGCATTGAAGTGACCAGTGCAACTTAGCACTGCTAGCAAACAAGGTACCACAGCGCCCACTTGATCCAAAGGCAACCGAATCGCTTCGCCAATGTTGTCCGAACTCCTTCCACGTTCCCAATGGCAATGTAATCGATAGCTGTAGCGAGCGACATGGCATGGCACCTTAGCGCTAGCATGGCACCGCTAAACCTGTGACCGGTGTGGAAGCTTTGCAGCAGCAGGAATGCCAAGGTTATCAAACGAGCGAGTGCAGTCCGCCGTGGCCGGCCACCGAGGTCCGGCGTCATAGGGGAAATGGCTTTTCTATGTGTGGATCTGAGAAAAACCTCGCACTTTAACCGAGGTTTTTTGTTGCTTCTCCCAGCCCCCAGCGGGGACTCATTTGCGCAGGAAAGCGGAAGGCGAGCGCGGAAGAACGAGACGACTTCCGGAGGCGGTGTAGCAGCAGCCGACAGCAGCGCACGTACGTATCTGCCGCTGTGAGCGCAATCTACGCTTACCATACGAGGCTTACCCGCAGTTCCGGCGCGTTTTGGTGGCGTATAGGACGAGAAACGAACCCCGTAGAAGCACCTTGAGGCTGTCATCATGGAGTATGAGGTGATGTGGGGCGACGGCCCACTGGGCCTGACGCTCCGCCCCGACCTGGGAGAGGACATGCCGCCCGTTGTGGGCCGCATTACGCGCCAGGACTCGGCTGCGGCGCTAGCTAAAGTGGCTGTGGGTCACATGCTAGTGAGCATCAACGGCATGGACACGGCCCGCCAGGGCTATGACCACGTGGTTGAGACGCTGCAGAAGATCCCTCGCCCGGCCACGCTGCGATTCCGCGTGCCTCGTGCCATGTCGGGCACCCCCAGTGCTTATCGCGACCCGTCGCGCAGTTCCTCGCGCCGCAGCCGTGGCTCCACGGGCACCACGTGGTCCGAGTCTGGAAAGTCCCCTTCGAACGCCAGTAGCACCACACGCAGACGCGAGCAGTACACAGTGGTGTGGACAGAGGGGCCCTTAGGCATGATCCTTCGCCCCGACGATGATGATTGTCACGTGCCTTGCATCCGCAAGATCACAGGTAAAGGCGCCGGTACTGGCATGGAGCGAGCTACTGTGGGGGACATCCTAGTAGCAGTGAACGGTCAGGAGACCAAGTCACTGGGATTTCGCAGCACGATCTCGCTGCTGAAGACGATTCGCAAGCCGGCAGTGCTCAAGTTCAAACGTATGGGTCGACGTATCTCGCGAAAGAGGTCTTCGCAGGAATCCCCTGGCGGAAGTCGTAGTGTGAGTGGCATTCCGAGTGATATTGGATCGTATGACATCGTGTGGCGCGAAGGCGACCTCGGTCTTAAGCTGAAGCCTGGATACCGCGATGTTCCAGTTCTTAGTAAGCTCACAGGAAAGGGTAATGCGAGCGGCTTGCAGAACGCTCAGGTGGGCGATGAGCTCGTGTCAGTTAACGGCACGGCAGTGGAAGGCGAAGCGTATCAGGACACTCTACGTATGCTAAAGCACTCGCCGAAGCCGGCGGTGCTGCGCTTCCGTCCAGGCAAAAACCGCCGTGAGTCGATGATGTCGGTGGCATCCGTGACGTCAGTACGCTCGAATCCTAGCACGCAGCGTGAAGTGAGTAGTGTTTCGAGTCGCCAGCATGTACCGCTGTACGACCAGAACGTTGCTCCTCCAGAGCCCGTTGGACCACCACCGCCTATCAGAACCACAAGAACCGATCGTGAGCGCTCTGATCGCGACCGATCTGACCGTGAGCGCCAAAAACGGAAGAAACGCATTCCTCTGGATGTGGCACGCGAGTTGGTGGCAGCGTCGCAAGGATCAGACTTGGACCACGCCATTTTCGCTGGTATCCCCATTACTGCTATTGAAGAAGGCTCGAAAGAAGCGCATCTGTTGCGTGTTCAGGCCAAGCTTTGCATTTCAAACCAGGCAAAGGCTGACCGCAACACACCAGCTAAGGAGGCGCTATCGCGTGCAGAACAGGAGGCAAAGGTTCTCCAGGAGGCGTTGGAGAAGGTGAAGAGCCAGGCTAAGAAGTATGAAGAGATCCTCGAAGCGCAGTCGCGTGAGCGTGTGCTGGCGTTGGCGGTACAGCACAAGCCTGAAGAGGTGGTGAAGCGCCAGAACAACGTGATTCACGAGCTGGCTGGTGTGATTTCGGGATTCAAGCGCGACTCGTACACCGACGTGGATATTGTACCGCCTGTGATTGAGGATAACGAACACGTGCAAAAGATTATGGACGACTTGCAGAACGTAATGAGCATCCCCGTGGTTGTCCCAACGGCGAAGTTCTGCGCCGAGTGTGGCACCACGGAGAATGAGTCAAAGCTGGATATGGATGACGATGGCGAGTATTACTGCAAGGACTGCTGGGACAAGTTCCTTAACCTTTCTGGGTCTGCTCCGGCTGAGGCACCAGCAGCGGAAGCTCCGGCACCAGTGGTGGAGACACCAGTTCCAGCTCCTGTAGAACAGCCAACTGAGATTGCCCCGCCATCTCCACCTGCACCTGCTCCAGTTGAGGTAGAAGAGGATGCTTCTCCTGCTGATGCACCAGCGCGTTCAATGAGCCGCATGACCATCGAAAACCGTGAAGCTGAAGAACAGAAGGCACGCATGGAAGCAGAACGCAAGCTGATGGAAATCAAGGAGCTTCGTCGTTCAGGATCAATGATGCCCGAGAGGCCGCATAAGAGCAACTCGGACCGTTCTCGTCGTGAGCGTCGTGGTCTGGAGGAACTTGCTCAGGCGCTGCTCGAAGAAGAAGAGCGTGCTCGCGCAGAAGGCAATCTCGGATTGGCTAAGAAGCTGAGCGCACAACGCGCGCGCACCATGGCTGAGGCAGCTGGCGAGAATCCACAGTTAGGCACGACTCCGTTTTCATCGACAAACAGTTTGCTGGCCAACAACGATACAGAGTTCAGGAACGGACATGCCAGCCCTATCAAAGCAAAGTCACCATCGCCTGTGGTTGACACACCGTTGTCGTTGAGCCGCTCGATTAGCGCCGACTCGACCTTGCCCCCTCCTGTGCCGGTGTCGGTGTCGCCGGCCACTTCTCCGGAGCCGATGCCGTCTCCTGTCGCTAACCACCACCACGAAATGGCAGCAGCGGCAGCAGTTGGCGCAACGGCTGCAGTCGCGGCAGCTGCTGTTGCAATGGATGCCCCTGGCTCACCAACGACAACTGCCGAGGCCACAGCATCTTCATCGGGTGGTAACGACTACGCGGACGTGAATTCGGATGAGGAAGCTGAAGACCAGATGCATATGAGCGACGAGGAAGATGTTCTACGAGAGGTGGAGGAGAAGAACTTTGCGCTAGCGCGACAGTTGGACGAGGCTCACAGCGTCATCGAGCGTGCTCGTATGTCTATTAGCATGTCCGGGGACGATGATGATGACGAGGCCAACGATGGCCTGAGCGAGGAGCAGATTAGTTTATTTAAGAAACTAACGAGTCAGGCGGAGGAGCGAATGTCCATGGTGGACCGCCTGCACCCGCAGGACGACTCGGACTCGGATTCGGACTCAGACTCAGGGGAGGAAGAAGAGGAGGAAGACGAAGGCGTGTGGATTTAATCCCGTGGTGGCAGATATCCTCGCGGAATCGTTGGCTGACAAACGAGAAGACAGACTGGCGACCGCGCAGCGCCTGTACAAACAAGCGAGCGAGCGAGCAGCCACCCCTCGACTTAGATTTGGCGGCTTCGTGTTGCTGACTTGGAAGCAGCAGCGGCTTGACTAGGGGATCCGCATCGCGCTGTCCTCCCGTAGTGGTGTTAATGCCTAGTATGTGAGTAGCTTTAGCCTTTTTACCCATCTCTCTGCGTCTTAAAAGACAAACATAAGTTTTCATATTCGCGTTGTCTTGGGTCTTGTGTAGTGTCTTGATAGTCGCTCTATCAACATGTTGAAGTGGTGTACGTCACCGAAAAGCGTCTCAACGATTGGTCGAAAGTCGATCTGGCTCCACACTTGGAGTTTGTAAGCATCTCTCCCCCTTGTCAGTCAGGAAGTTGACAAGCGACGAGATGACCGCTCCTGCTGCCGCCCCCGCCGAAGGTGCCGCGGCACCTGCGCAGGAGAGCTTGATGGACCGCCTGTGGCCCATGCTGCGCATGCTGTTCATCTACTACACGATCACGTCCGTTATCAACATGTTCGCGCCGCAGCCACACCGCCAACCTCAGTCCAGCGTTCAGGACGTGGTCGCCAAGAATGCGGACAACTCGAATAGTGGTCCCCGCTCACCTGCGCAACTGCAACTTTTGCGCAACTCATTCCAGTTGGGCGCGCCGATCAATCTCAGAGTGTATGTCACTCCCGACGAGCATTTCTCCTTCGCCGATGCTGCGGACAGCGCCGCCGTGGAGAGGGAGCAGGAGGCACTGCGCTGGTTCGAGGACGCACTCACATACGACAACACGCCCAACGCCGAGCGCGAGGACGGCGTGTGGGTTCGTGAGATGAACGTTTCGGTGGACGATCATTTGCTGTCGAATGGCTCACTCTACGCGCACGTGTTCGTTACCAAGGACGGCTGCTCGCCCAATCCAGCAGACAGCACGTACGACGCCATGGGCTCCATCCACCGCTCAGTGGAGCTCACGGCCTTTCGTCCGCCGCCTAAGATTGTCAAGAAGCGCAACCTGCTGGAGTCGCGCACGGCTGAAGAAGAGCAGGAAGAGGCCGAGGAGGAAGCTCAGCAGCTCGCCAACACCGACTCAGACGTGTATATCTCCATGTGGAAGCCCTCGTTCTACGTGAACTTGGTGCTGGACCATACGACGTACTCGACCAGACAGCCTCCTCCACCTTTCGTATCCACCGAGATGGACATTGATAAGGAAGCCGGACTGTACGCGCCAGTGCTCTTTATGAACGAGTTCTGGCTGTTGGAGGAGCATTTGGTTCCTGTGAACGACTCGCTCACAGCCTTACCACTGGAGATCTCGTTCTACCCGTTGCCGATGTACAAATATGCGCTGTACACGCAGATGGAGCAGAACTTCCGCAACCAGGAGGCAACAGGCGCGTCTTCGAGACGCGATACGGACAATATGAAGAGCATGTTTATTGAAACGAACCCGTACCTGCTGGCAGTGACGATGATCGTGTCACTACTGCACTCGCTCTTCGATTTCCTGGCGTTCAAGAACGACGTGAGTTTCTGGAAGAACCAGAAGTCACTCGCGGGCCTTTCACTTCGTACCATCGTGCTCAACACATTCTTCCAGCTTGTGATCTTCTTGTACCTGATGGACAACGACACCTCGTGGCTGATTCTGGTCCAGTCGGGTATTGGTCTCATTATTGAAATGTGGAAGATCAAGAAGGCGGTTGTCTTCTCGCGCGATGAAAATAACAAGCTCGTCGTGTCAGGAGCCGAGAGCTACGAGGATTCGCCGACAGCTGAGCATGACCGCGTTGCTGTGGCTCACCTGTCATACGTTCTGTATCCCCTCATCGTCGGCCAGGCAGCTTACACTCTTGTTTACGGTGTGCACAAGAGCTGGTACTCGTGGGTGATCTCCAGTCTGACCAGCTTTGTGTACGCGTTTGGCTTCATTATGATGACGCCTCAGTTGTACATCAACTACAAACTCAAGTCGGTTGCGCACTTGCCTTGGCGTGCCATGGTGTACAAGTCGTTGAACACATTCATCGATGACCTGTTTGCCTTCGTGATTAAGATGCCGTGGATGCACCGCCTGAGCTGCTTCCGTGACGATCTCATCTTCTTCATTTACCTTTACCAGCGCTGGAAGTACCCGGTAGATGCCAAGCGCACGAACGAGTTTGGCCAGGGTCCTATTGAGGACGAGGGTGTATCCAACGCCATCGAAAGTGCTGCAGTGTCGACTGACGACAGTTCTGAGCACACCTCAGGAGCTATTGCCGCTGCCGTTGACGCAACGGAGGAGATTCCGCCTCCGCCGTCTACCCCTCCGTCGACTGAGTATCTGATGTCCAAGCGAGCCAACACCCTCGAGGAGGAAACTACAAGTTCGGAGGAATCGACTCTCGTATCAACAGCGATGGATGATAGATAGATGAAGCGATGTGTTTTGAAGCTGCAGCACGAGTGCAGTTGTAGGCGGACGACCGTATTGTCTTATACAAATACGTTTTGCTGTACGTGTGTGTTTGTATTGTGGTGTTTGTGTCCAGGTTTGTTTGGTGGCAACGCATTGAAGGGTCGGATCAAGTGAACGAGAGGACTCGAAAGACAAGGAACCCTGTCACATAGGACATCCAAGATGCTGGACCTTTCCTCAGGGCTGGGCGTGGGTGGGAAGGAACAGGCGCTGGACGACGATGCCGACATTGACATCTCGAGACTCTCGGCTGTAGACCGTGATGCCATCATGGCGCGCGTGACGCCCGACGACAGCACACCTCCCGATGCGTTTGCACTAGCACAGAACGAGATCCGCCGTGAGGTACATGAATATTTACTGAATAATGAGGAAGTATGCTGAGCGAACGGTGTTGTGTGTGCAGATGATTGATCGAGGTATTCAACCAAAAGGATTCTACAATGACGACGCAGCTCGACTACAAGAAGAGTTCAATCGAGAGCATGCGTCGGAGAAGGATTCTCGTATGCAGCAGAAGATTCAATTTGCCGCCAAGAGTTATCTTCGTGAGACTGTGCATCGACGCAGGCAGGAGCGCGAGAAGGAAGTGCGTGAAGAAGTCGAGGAGATCGCTAAAAATCCGCAATTGGAGGTGTGGCTTGGCCTCGCCAAGGCTGATGAGACCCCGAAACATGCAGACCTACGTGTGAGTAGTATCGGTGCCCGAGCTCTCTGCAAGACGCTGGCATTCACGCACTCGTTACGGTCGCTCAATCTCAGTCGAAATGCACTCGACGATGCGACGGGCAAGTGGTTGGCGGTGTTTCTTAAGCGGAACACGTCACTTCGCCGACTGGAACTGGAGAGCAATTGTCTGGGCCCATCAGCAGCGAAAGACCTGGCTGAAGCTTTGAGCTCTAACGAAAGTCTCGAGTATCTCAACCTGGAGAGCAACCCACTCACAGACGAAGAGAAGGACTTCTCCGGTGTGGCGGCGTTGGGCAAAATGCTCGCCCAGAACAAGACGCTGCGCACGCTGAACCTTTGGCGAACGCGACTCGGTGGAGAAGGTGGCAAGCAGTTGGCGCTGGGTATGGCTCGTAACACTACGCTGGTATGCTTAGATGTGGGGAACAACCGCATCACCACGTCAGATGCCGTCGCACTCGATGTGCAGCTCAAGAAAAACCGAGTGCTGTTTGAAGAGCAACAACTGCAGCAGCTTAAGTTCCGCGAAGCGCAGTGGAAAGCTGCGGATAAAGAGCGCGAGAGGCAGGAAAAACTGGCGAAACGACAGGAAGATGTACGTTCATGGTTGGTGAGACTCGCAGAGCTTAGAATTAAATGTTTGACTGCATTACTTGCCTGCAGGAAGAGTGGATGGAGAAGCGCAAGCTGGAGCGCGAACATGACCGCGCGCTGCTCGAAGAGCAACGACAGCGAGATCTCAAGATTGAGGAGGACCGGATGCGGCAAATCGCAGCTCGCAAGGCAGCAGAGTTCGCTGCAAAAGCGGAGATGGAAAAGAAGAAAAAGAAGAAAAAGGGTGGAGCCAAGAAGAAGAAGTAACTAACTGCAGTCCATTCAGCTGCAGAGTAAGGTCGGATCAGGCTTTCCTAGTGCGAGTCTTGGCATTGGACTTCTTGACGGTTTTCTTTCGCCTAGGACTCTTGCTCTCTCGTTTCTTCCCTTTTACCCCTTTCTTACCTTTCCTCGATCTGTTCTTTTTGCGTTGTGCTTCCAGTCGCAAGCGCTTCCGTGCCAGGAATCCTCTCACCACAGCTTGCATTCTGAGAACGAAGCCGAACAGATTGGCTTCACGGTTGCGACGAAGTTTCTCTGCGAGATCGATTGCGCGCTGTTCTTCGATCATGTTACGGCGATCCTGGTCGATGCGAGCAAAGTGCATCGCGAACTTGGCATTCGCACTGTCAAGGCGATCCACCTCAGCTCGTTCCTCTTCGATCTCGGCATCCAGCTTTTCCATGTCGTCATCATAGCGTCGTATGAGCTCACGCAACTCAGTCGAAGCATGCTGCGTGTGCTTGCGTTCGTCAGTCTCCACTTGTTGGCTGGTCTGCGTCACTCGAGCTATGGTACGTTGGATCGTTTCGACTTGCTTCTGCGCGCTTGCGTTCTGCGTTTCGAAACTGGACAACGCTGCTTGCAGATGCTCTTCTCGATCGCGTGCAGTAGGCTCAAGAATATCGTCAGCAGCGCGCTTCGTGTCACGAAGCTGAGCCTCAAGTCGAGTACGCTGAGCTGTGAACTTGTCTGACATGGCAGTGCGAGCTTCGCGGGCTTGCGCAAGCTCAAAAGCCACTTGGTCCCGGTCATCTTCAGCCTCCCGTAACCTCAACATACTGTCACGAAGATTCAATGCAAAGCGCTCGTCCTGCTCAAAGCTTGTAGACAGCGCCGATTCCGTGTTGATAATCAGCTGCATCCAGGCCTCCGTAAGTCGTGATATCGCTGGTGACACGCTAGTTGCGCTGAGTTTCCGTAGCGTATCCCGCGCGGATCGATCCTCCTACCAGAAGTGAACGTTGGAAACTGCACGTTAGCACGATACATCTTTCTACAACGGCATCCATGGTGGCATTGCTGCGTACCTTCAGCCCGTGCAGTAGCTGATGCAAAGTCTTAGGGAACAGGCGAGTGGCAACAGGCCTGGAGAGCAGCGAAGTCACCTCAGTGTGGTGCTGTAATTCGTCCTCGTCAGCGCTGGCGTCGCCATCTTCCTCGGTCTCCGGTCTGTCGTCCTTTTGATCATTTTGCTGCTCTATGAAATGCAGTAGTCCAGCCTCGATAACCGACTGACAACAGAGCGAAGAAGATATAAGTGATAATGCGGTGGCTGAATGCGCAGCTACATTTACCTGACGACGCAAAGCCTCTCGAACCGCGGGTTGAAAGTCACCGTCTATAGGTACGGTATCTGGAAGTGTCGCGAGCAGCTCCAGATTCCGGACTGTCGACTCAAGCACACCTAGCAATCGTTCTCCGTCGAGTCGGACGGCGTGCTCCATTGTAGCCCGTTGAATGACGAGGATTTTTTACTCGTATTAATAGTGATTACCAATGTCCCATGACTTCACTCGCTCCGCTCATTTTTTTTGTGTGCTCGGGCCTTCATTTCTTTTCTTGACGTCGTTTACTGTAGTCTGTCCGAGAGCTGCTAGAGCTCGAGCTACTGCTCTTGCTGTCACTGTCGCTCTCCTCCAAACCCTCACTCTCAATTTCTTCGTCTCCGATTCCAAGTGCGATCTCATCCGTCACCTGTTCAATGATGCAATCGACCGCACTTTTCCCGTTCAAACTACCTTCTCCAGCTGCACTTGCAGCTTCAGCCGATCCATTATCACCCCTTAGCTTCCGCAGTCTTTCTGTTAAATCACCTATTGGCAGAGCAGGCCTCGCCTTCTCATTCTTCAATGCCGCCAATCGTGCTGCGAGATCTATTCGATTTTCATGCTGAGCCTGCGTCTTCGTGTTATCCTGCTGCGCTGCAAACCGACGTAGCTCCTCCAACCTCGCACTGATATCCATAGGTGGCGGTGCTGTCACCACTTCTACCATTGGCGGGGAACCAACAGCAGGAGGAGGAAGCACACTCTGCGTCTCAAGAGCCCTCTCCATCTCCCTTTCTAGCTCCCTAATTGTGCGCTGTAAATCTGCTCTTCTGTCTCTCAAAAACTCTCTCGATCTTTCATCTGTCAGCAGCTTTTCAGCCTCCCAGAAGCCTCTCTCCGCCTCCTTATACAGCTCAATGGATGTCTTCTTGTCTCTACTTTGCTGTGCCTTCTCCAACGCCGCAAAGGCGTCATCTAGGAGTTTCTTCCCTGGATCCACAACCTCCTCACCTCTTAAACAGCGCAATAGTCGCTCGCGAGTTGGTTCCACCTCCACAAACACTTCCAGCACTTGGGTTCTGGCCGCAGTCTGATACAATTGGGCGCGTCTCACATCATCCAGCGGCCGCACCGTCAGCTCAATTAGCTTCTTGGTCTCTTTGGCGTCTCCGCTACGCTTGGTTGCGTCCGCCGGTCTGGAATTGAGTACTATGTACTCGGTTTGACCCAACTGCAGCACGATTTGGGGTTGCATCCAAAACGGGAGCACTTGTCTGCGAACTGAAAGGGGCTCTTGGTTGTAGCGCGGCGAGTAGAAGGTCGTCTTGGGCTCTTGCAGCAGCCACGCTATGCCCTGGAACGACGCCATGATAATGCTAGTTTAAGCCAATTATTTATTGTTTCAGTTTACGACACAAACACTTTGTTATGGATGATTGTTATCATTTGAAAATTTAATTAATTAATTGACCAGAATAGTATGTTCCGTCAACGTACGAAGAAGACGAAGCGCAAATGGAAGCTGCTGAGCTATGCGTTCATTCGCTACTGCCCACAGTTTACCCAAACTGCTCTGTGCTGCTACTACTCGGCGAGGCGCGAACGCAATGAACACTTGTGGGACTACCTCGATCGATTGAACGACTACGCACGGAACACGCGTCTTCACATGCCTCAAGCTCGATCTCAATGGACACAGACATCGACACAGACAATAAATATCCCTTCAAATCCAGCTGTTACTAGTACACCTAGATATTAATGCCCTGATGGCTCCGGTGGTCGATCGCGGATCCCCACTAGACGTGATGACTCGTTGATTCACACAGATTATTCCTATACACAGGAGTAGTCTTGTGCCGTTGACTTCGGTGCTCTGTCTGAGATGCTCATGTTTGGCCACTGCCATCAGTCCTGCACTTCACCATCTACCGTGGAATGTTTACGTTGCCGCAC